CTACCATCATAAGCATATGGCAAACTAGAGGCCTAACATAAGAAATAATTGTGCTACATTAATTGTGTAAAACTGCAGCCCAGTTGAGTTATTCTTCTAGCCTTGAATCTGATGAAGATTGACAAATTTAAAAAAGGGTTTTTAAAAGACATGTTCACGAGATGAATTACTGTTAAGAGGAGAAAATATGCATTCCTTAGGATGTGAACTTTTCTTAGTGGTTTTATATAAGACTGTTAATAACTATAAGCAATTTAATGTATTATGAGTTTTGAGCAATAAACACTTGAATTATTCATCTTTATGTAATGTAGTATGATATACCTTCTCTTAGATGTTCAAATTCACAGTGCATACACATAAAATAATTTCAAGAAAATAAGTTATTTTATATATTCCTGGCCAGAGATGTACAGATCATTTTGATCTTGTATTCAGTTTGTTTTGAGCTTGAAACAAAATGCGCTTTGAGAGACTAGTTTCTATATTGGGGGGGGGGGGTTATTCTGACTTTGGAATTAAGTCTCTGCTGTTTCTGGGGTTATATTGGGCCTGTTTTGGGGCTTATGACAGAATTCCCTTGTTCCCCCAACATTGTACCACCTAGCTTTTCTAGCAGCAGGGACTAGTCTTCCTACTTCTATTGGTTACTGGATGATCGGAAATAGAAAATTTAGAGGAAATCAGCAGTCAACTACATGGCTAACCAGAAAAATACTACTCACACTGTATTCCTTATAGTAGTATTGTTGTTTTTTATTTTATCTTTGTCCTACATAGAGTTTGTGGGTTAGTGAGCTTCGTACTTGTAATACAGTAATAGGTATGACAGTAATAATCAGTCAAAATTGACTTCATTTAGGGTTATGGAATAGGACAAACATCAATATATTTATAAATGTTTAACATTTCCATTTATTAAGCTTCATGCTATAAATATCTCTGAATATTTTACACAACAAAATACATACTGTACATGAATAACTCAAACCATTTTTCTTGTTCAAGCTGGACATAACTCCCATAATCCATTTTAAACTAGGAAGGATTTCTTTGAATACTAATCAGTTCATGTTAGCATTCTAGCATCCAAAAGTTCCATGTAGAAACAATAGTTATTTTAATTATATAAAATAATGCAAGTAAACAAAATTGACAGCTAAACTTTCACCCATAAAAGTCTACATCATCAAAAAAGTATAATAGGTAATTCCCTTTGAGAAAATATCTGGCCTTCAGTTATAATTCAAGAAAGAAGGTACCACAATTATGGAATATAGCTTACCAAAATATTTCAAGAACTTGCAATAATAGTGCAATTTTAAACCCCTGTAAATTCAGTAGAATTTACTTTAAGGCTCATTAATACATCTCAATAAAAAACCATATCTGTGCTCACTAGAATTTTCAAATACGTTATTTCCAAATATGCAGGAGTGCCTATTGAGCATATCATCTCAACTTATTAAAGCAGCTATGTCTTTTCCACTTATATTATTCATAATTGCTTTTAGCTGTCTTTACATAAATGCACATACACAGAACCTGTGTTTTATTTGAATTAGCTGTACAGGTAAACGATAGTTCGAACAGCTTCCATAGCAACTGTCCATGTCCAGAGCAGATACTGGAGGCTTTGCCAGCTGTAGGGCTTAGCATACTGAAAACACAGGATTGCTGTGTGTTAGAACTAGCCATTCCTGTTGTACAACCATTATAGCTGCATAATACTTTGCCATAGTGAGTGTGGTTTAAACTGCTTTTTAATAGAGCAGTGATTTTTTTTTAAAAAAATGTAAAAACGTAAAACAAAAAACAATATGGAATCCAAGATTTCCTTTTTTGAAAAGTCTGCTATCTCTGCTCCACCAAGTCCAGCTAATATTGAGAGGGAAACAAGCAGTGATTGCAATTAATAACAATAAATTTTAAAAAGATTTTCAATTTAACGTGCATAATATCTAGTATAAAAGAAAAATTCAAAATACTGAAAGAAACAAACTTTTGGATATGTTCTTTAATTACATTATGGAGATTTTCCTAATTACAAAATAGATAAATTTTTCAAATGAAATTTAGATTATCTGTCAAGCATTGATAACCTTAGCTATAAGGTCAAGTTCTAAAATTGTTATTAGCCAACAAAGATAAAGATGTAATTTGTCATGGTCATCTTTGGTCAAAGCTGATAGTATCTATTCATCTGCCACAGTATCCCAGAATAGAATGCTAAATTCCAAATACGGGAGCTGCCTTTATAATTATTTTGTGGAAAGATTCCTGAGCCTCTGTTTCTGTGAACGATTTGCATTTATTGGATTAGGAGAGCTAAATTTGGACAGATGTGAAGTAAACCTGGATTGGATAATCATTCTTCTGGATAGAAACAAATGAAAATAACTTTGCACTTATGAAATTGAAATATCTTCCCAACCACAATTGTATATGTGCACTAAAACTTTTTGTACAACTTTTTTTCCGGACTATGGTAATATTTAAATTAGAAGCATAAGTGCAAGGAGAGAAAATTGTTATCCCTTTTTTTCCTAAGAAGTTCAGAATTTGTGACAAATTTTACTTTCTATCTCCCCTTTTCAGAATTATCATTTTATTTCAAATGGCTAACAGGTGAAGTGTTATATAACTACTACCATCAACAGTAATTAAATATAACTGCTTTTCAGAACTCAGAAACTGCCTCTAATAGTTCATTTTTAAGTTTGCATATTCAAAATAAATTCCATATAAAAACGTTTGACACTACCTACAACAGTTGATAAATCAGGGGTATCAAACTGGTGGCCCGCAGGCCGGATGCCTCATGTGCAGGCCACGCCCACCCTGGCTCCGCAAAGGAAAAAAACGTCATGATATGTCATGTGACGCGATCGAGTTTGACACCCATGTGATAAATCATTAAATTCCAGTTCCCACACTTTTACATCATAGTAATGAAGTAATGGCATATTAAGCTATCAAACTTCCCATGATTAGTGCGTTTCATACAAACTACAAAATGCAGTTTACGTCTATGCATATGTCAGCTTTATTCACACCTCACATTATACTAAATTATGATTGGTTTTGTTTTAACAAGATTAATAAATCTTGCTGATGTAAGTGTAAATTACCATGCTTTAAAACTTAGCACTGTGTGTCAATGTTACTGTGGCTTATTCAACAATGGTTAAACTAAACCTCAGTTTAATGAAAAGTGTGAATGTAACCAATCTTAATATTCTAATGTGCATGAATACATATTTTTGCAAATCAATATGCCTGCCGATTCATAGATAAAGTTCTTAATCTTCTATATTGAAAAAATCAAGGGGGTGGAACAAGTCTCATAATGGTGAATAAAGTGGAAAGTTGATATGGATGTGTTGAACTGAAAAAGCTCTACTGGATCACATAGCAAATCCTGGTGGATATATCAACAACTGGTTTGCATTTTTCAGGTATCTGGCTTATACCTTGATGCCTCAGGAAATTACCATATCAAATTACTCTTCAATTAAAGGGCCCATCTAGAAAAGCCAAGTATGTCCACTAAACATCTAGGAGCAATGTGCTGATCTTTGGTTATATTAGATTTTAGTTTCTAAATTCAGGATAGTCTTTGTTAACTAACGGACACTTCAGTACTGTGTACAATCAGACATCTGAAATCTAAACAGAAGTTAAAGTTTAAAGTGCCATCAATCCAATCTGAGAAAAATTGTGAGAAAACTGGTCCATGTGTGCTACCAAAAATTACTGTCCCGTGTCCCTTTTTTCAAAGCAGAATGTTATGTATCTTGAGATGCAAACCTATAATGACTAGAGTTAAAATGTACTTTTAAATGCATTAAACCACATAGCTAGAAGCCTGCATCTTGGCAACTATAGCAATCCTATTTGAGGTAAGCACTTGCAGAAGAAACTGGTTTTGTAGCGATTCTGATGTAACTTAAGAATTCTGATGATCAGACGACTTTCTGTCCTGCAAAAGCTTACATTCTCTCTTTTGTTCAGGCTTAGTTGTGGCTATTTTGACAGTGCTGTAATCTCTTCTGTCTTCATCGCATCAGACAGAAAACTCAGTTCATTGCATAAAGTCTCATATCTGTAAGCCATTCGAATCTGTGCCACATTTGTCTTTCTAATGTCATTTCCTTCTGGGCCTTCAGCACAGTAATTTAGACCTATACACTTCTGTTTTTCCTAGAGAAACAGAGAGAAAAGAAGATACTGTTTGAAAAGTTGAAAAGTTCCTGAACTCAAGGATCTGGAAGATGATCTCCACATAATGGCATTTTTGAAAAGAAGGAGGTGGTTTATTGAAAGAGAGAGAGAGAACAAAAATGTCCAGTCTTTTTAACTGCTATCAAATTGATTAATATACAAAGATAGCTTGCAACTTCATGTAGCAGCTTTCTTAAGAGACCCTAATTTCTTTTGCTCTCTAACAGGCATGATTTTATTCTGCAACACTACACTAGATAATTAACTAGAGATCAGTGAAACTCTACCTTCCCCCAAACTATGCCTTCAAATATATTGGACTGAAACTCCCAAAATTTCCAGATAGCCTTTGAGGAAGCTGGATGGGAATTGTGAAGGGTAAATTGGACAAGTCTAATAGAAATCAAGAACAAGTTAAGCCTATATGTAAACAACGGCATCTGCAGGAAGTGTGAAAAAAAAGTCAAGATGGCAATCATGACAGTGCCCTTTATATGGGATTTTTTGACTCCCTCCCCCCTGGCAATGCCCCATGGGTAAATTCATGCCATCTTTTCTGTTTCATTCATTACAGTGGCAAAGGTAAGTCAATATTGTAAACAAAGCTCAAGGGCTCAGAATTTAATCATTTCTATCCCACACCATTAGAGAAGAGATGTCATAAGCTAAAATATTCCTATTATGTGTGATGATCAGGTCCTCTGGTAACTTAATATATGCATTTTTATTTTTATTTATAAAGTGCAGCACCTACGTCCTCAAACGTTTGGTACTTATAGGAGCAAAGTAAATTTACCTTGTGTGACAAACCGCTTTGTAGTACACTGTTTCTTGCAATTTCACACAGGTCACAAGTACTCAGTTTCCAAACTTGGGCTGCTATGGCATATTCCTCCATCAGTGCTTCCTTCAATTATATATACAAAAATATATGATTTACTATCAAATACATTTATTCATTTATTTCTCACTTCCTGAAAGCAAAAGGACCATTTCTAGTAAAAGGAAATTTAATTTTGCAGAGCTCTTCTCTTTTCTTCCTTAATTTTGTTCTTCCCTTGCTGTCCTCTATATTCCCTGAAAACTCTCTAGGGGATTGGTGAGGCCACCAGAATAGTAGGAGCAGGACTAAGAGTTCAGAGAATCAGGAAAATTTGATGAAATTTCATCTTCTTACCCTTTTATCAGCAGATGTCTCCCATCATAGTTGACAAGATCCAACTATTAAAGTTTCAGACCTGGGTAGCCTGGTAGAAGTGGTGGAAACTCCAGCCACTACACAGTTAAATTTATTTCTGCAAGCACTATGCTTTATGAAAATTGGTCATTTGCCTTCTTCAATTTTCATGGATCGATTATACCCAAACGAGACCACCCGTATCCTTCATAGTCCAGCTACAGGACTGTTGCTAATGACATGCCAGATTAACCTTGAAACATTTAAGAGAAGTGGAAAACAAATGGCATAGAAAACTGTTGAGAGTAGAAAGAAATCCTGTGAAACTCAAGACATTCTAGCAGGCTGGCTCAGGAATTCTGGGAATTGAAGTCCACGAGTCATAAAAGAGCCAAGGTTGACTACCCCTGCCTTCTAGGTTTTAATGGTGAAATAACATGAAAGAAGAATGTAGGAGACTGGAGTCCATACTCCATGCTTCAGCACCCAGCAAATGGGGTAAGGGAGAATGGCTTGAGAAACAAAAGGGCATTATGAGCATTACAAGTATTCCAGGATTCAACATTTAGGATTCAAACACAGTAAATAATTAAATTCCGAATAGAATTCTATGCCCTCTTAAATGAAGTGAAACGATGACTGAAAACTAACTGCTTTCAAATAAACAAATGTAAGATTGGAGAGCTGCTGCTGAATTTAATAAGAAAACGTTTAATTTAATATGGTTTCAGATGGAAATTAAACTTTTACATTGCTTTCATGCAAATTACCTTGGTATAGTGGAATTGCATGGGGTCATCTGTGGACAGAGAAACACGCAGTCCCTTGTGCAAGAATTCTCGCAATGGGTTTTTTGAATACTCCAGGAATAAGCTGTTGTTGCTAAGAGGAGACATGGCAATGGGGATTTGTGCAAGATAATAAAGATACTGGAGAACTGGACTCTGTACAAAAACAACACCCAAAATCATTATTCATTCACACAGAGATAACAAGGAAGGAAACATTCAGCCAGAGGAAATAGAAAACCATTTTTACAGCTTGGGAAACTTTAACTGACCCCAGCCCTCTGGCATTATACAAGTTGAGTTGTTATATATACAACTATACACTCTTATTTTGCATTGCATTGATGTATTTTTTTAAAAAAATACATTTTTATAATGAAAAAATAAACAGATTTGAGATGTTAAAACGCGTGTTACTGCATTAACTGAAGTAGGAAATAAAAGGCCTTTTGCTGTCTATGGTGATTGAATTGTGCCTTTAGTACAAGCTACTCCTTCAAAAACCAGCTTTCGATCTTCCTATTCAGTCCATTTATCAGTGAGCAACCACTGTTGCAGTTACATGTTAACACAGCTGTCTGGAAAAAGTCCTTAAGGAAGCACATGTTTGCTGTCCAATAAAATAGAATATTTCTCAATTAGAACAGTTTTTGTCAGAATTATATTGAAATCTGCCACCCAGTGGAGAATTGCTAACTGAAAGCTAATTGAAAGTAATCTTTTTATAAATCCTATTGATTTCAAACACACAAAAGTAAATATGTCCTTCCCATTTGTAGTAATCAGACACATACATCCACTCAGCAATAAGCCCACATGAGCTTAGTCATGGTGGTCCTATGAGAGTTATACAGGCTTGGGGACCTGGCATGCAAGTAGGCCTCATGAGTCCTCTAAAGTCTGTTTAAAAAGGCAACAATCTGAAAGTACAGAACAATATGATATAAAGAAAATAAACATCTTTGTTTGCATGTAGCAAACCTCAAGATGGAGAGCTATAGATCCCGTATACTCCCATGATGTATACAGGTTAAGTTACATCCATTCATTTAACAATCCTTCGAAATACGATCTCAGTGAAGAAAGTGTCTTACAACTGGCATGTATTTACGACAGTTGCAGTGACTGAGTTAAGTAATTACCATTTGCAACCTTCCTAGGGGGCTTCAAACCAGAAAAGAGGGAATTCACTTAAAAACTGCATGATTCGCTTAAGAATCACATTATTTCCTTCATGACTGCGACAAAAAGGTTGTAGAATTGGGTGGGACTCACTCAATCACTGCATTATTTAGGAATGGAAGTTCTGGTCCCAACTGTGTTCATAACTAGAGGACTACCTGTACAAGTGTGTCTAACTTACAGTACCACAAATTAAACTCTATTAGAGTTTTTCAGTGAACTGATGACGCCCAAAGGTATGTGTTCAGTTTCAGAAGTCCCAGACAATTCTAGGAGCTGAAGTAATTTATTAGGAGGACAATAGATTGGTGGAGGCTGCAGTAGAACCATTATTATACCTTCTTCAGGAGCAATCCATGGGAAATATTGTCTGCAGTTAGAAAAGCGGATACCAGGTGAGTTATAGATCCAGCTTCTCCACAATGAGGTCGAAACAAGAAGGTGCTCATGCCTCTCTCCCTATAACAATTTAAAATACAATTAGCACTATACCTTCCCATTCTGAAATCCCAAGACCAGTCATAATGATACATCACACAACGGCTGTTGGAAGTTCAAAAAATATGCATCAGTGACAATGGGCCACTGATGGGCAGCAATACGTATATTAAGTTACTCAGAGGTAAGTCCTTCTCCATCACAGCCTGTGGCAACCCCTATCCTAGCCTGACTTCAAAGACACAAACACTCTCATGTTAACTAAGGGGACAGAAGAGGCTCAGTGGCTGCTGGGCCTCAAATTAAAAATGGTTTAGGTTGGCCCTGTCCACTTGTTCAAAGGTAAGCCCTCCATTTCATTAGACAGGTATTTGTGACTGCGGCTCAAATGACTCATTGCAGGATAATTCTGCCAGCGGGCTAACTCTCATGACACAGCAGAGATTAAACTGCTTCAAATATTAGATTGTGACCACAGCTCTGTCTCAATCCTTGAAACTTATTTTTTTTATTTCATCTTATATTTTACCAAGGCCTAAATGCTACTGTCTAAACATGCTATGCATAGCTGACTTTGAAGGTCTTGTCTGCTTTGTTTTCTCATTTTAAATTTCTTGATTTCACCCTTTCTCTCCAGTGTCATACAACTGAAGTCACTCTAAATCTCTAGGCTGCGCTGTGTTTGCAATCCGATTTTGTGCTTATGCAAACAGATTTGCAAACAAACAAACACATGTCTATGAGATAATGGATAATCTGTACTAACTGTGCAGATTACAGGTTCACTATGATAATTCAAGTACAAATGGCTCCAGGCAATGCAGAGAAATGTCACCTGTGATGGACATAATTCTACAGAGTAGTAATTACAACTTTAATCACTCCTGCTGCTGAGGTAATGCTGAAAGTGACTCTATATGTAGTCACAAGCAATGCAGAAATTTGAGTTCCTGCTGATACCACTTCATTGCTAAAACTCATAAAACAGATTTCATATAGAGATCACAAAAAAGATTAAAATGAAAATTAGAATGCATACTACAGGTACTGATGATCTTCAGTCTGGAAAATTATCCCCTCCTTACCTAACAAAAGGGACTTTGTGCAAAAAATGTTCTATACTGCTGTTTCTCAGGCTGTAAGCAAAATCTCTCAATTTTTACCTAACCCCAGCCCTCCCATCAGAGTCACAGATGACACAAATCCTGTTCCAAGAACATCTAAGGATCATCGGTTAGGAAAGGCTTGTTTAGAATTATAAGACATTCAACTTTTTATTTGTTCATCTACCTTCAAATGACAATAGCATCCGTAACAGAATTTATCATTAGGATAATTTATGCCTAATCCCAATGCCCAGAGCAGAATTGTCAACCTGGAAATGTGTAGAACTCCAGCATGTCTTCATTGTGTAATTAAAAAGGTGGAGGCAAAATAAATTTTAAAAGGGAGAGGGGAGATAAATTTTATGTAATTTGTTTATCTTACAAAACCATGATATACTGTAAATCCCTTGTTATACCTTTCTACCAAACATAGAAACATGAAAATAGAAATATTACTACTTACTTTCTAAGGTTGTTGAGAACCATGATGTTTGTGTACATATAATACAAATAATAGCTATATGGAGGATTTGTTTCGCTAATCCAAATATCAGGATGGGGGCTCCTTTCAGAGAACATGTGATCACTGTGTTTTGATTCATCATCCACACTATCAAACCCTGTCACCTAAGAATTTAATAAAAACAGATTTTTGTATGAATAATGTATGATTTTCTGAATTATCTAACTTAATTGCTACCATTTAAACTGCTGTTTAAGGTCCCAACCCCTTATTGATAAATTGCTGAGAGTTAGATGGTGATAATGATGCAAGCCATTATAGCAGGGGTCTTCAAACTTGACCCTTTTGTGACTTGTGGACTTCAACTCCCAGAATTCCTCAGCCAGCATGCCTGGCTGAGGAATTCTGGGAGTTGAAGTCCACAAGTCATAAAAGGGCCAAGTTTGAAGACCCCTGCATTATAGGGTAACCATTCACAAGGTGATTAATTTGCATCTCCATAATTGTGTATGAAGGCATCCTAATTTTATTATATTGTACTTCACCATGTTGTTGGTACTACAAAACCTAATGCTGATTTAAAACTATTACACGAAATAACTTTTAATTGATTTTTTTCTTGAAAATTAAGTGAATGTTCACACATATATCCAAATGAATAGGAAGCACCATAAGCAAAAAGAAAAGAGTGCATTGGATAATCTGGCACTATACTTCAGAATGCAGACTACAATTGATGGCACCATCTAGAGGCCAAAAGGCATTGTTGTGTATTCAAAGTTTCTGTAACAAGAATGAAAGCAGTTAAATATTTGTTCTCTTCTTATGGAAATTAAATCTGAAGCTCTCATGAGATCCAATGTAGTAAAAATTATGGGCTTTCTGCAAGTATTCTAAAAACTCAGGAAAGATAACAATCATGAACTACAATGATCCATTCTTCTAAACAAACAAACAAAATAGGAGCATTTAGGGTGAAGAATAACAGGCAGATAATCTAAACTGGTAAAGGTGTTTTGTGGGAATCTGAGCTCTAACAATAAGAACTCACAAATTAATCAAGAGGACAAGATCTTGCTTCCCATTCTCCAAACACATCAGCCTAGAGAGTGCTGACAGGAGCTCCTGCTGTGGGATTCAAATAAGCTATGAGACTTGCATGCTGGGGCAATCAAAATTATGTATCATGAATGTACAGATTTGAATCTAAAGGCAGTCCATTTCCAAGACTGTTGGAAAATTTACAGAAAAAATAAAAATAAAATTATTGTCAAAATCCTAACAGTAATGCAAGATCAAAAACCAAACTTCACACAGAATCTTGTGTGAATCAGATTGAACGCATTCCAGTCTTCACTTCTTAGTGAGTATGATAAGCTGGAGTCTCTAAATTGTCTGTTTTTCTTTCTCAAAAATTCTCTAATGCAGTACACACAGAGATGAGTCCTAAGAATAAGAGCTGGGCACTGATCCTTTCAATTGAAGCAGAGAATCAACAGTGGGATGAGAAAAACATACATGTGTTGCTATGTTACTGAGACATTCAAGATTACTAGAGCTGGCTGTTGACTTTCTCAAGAAATCATTATGATGAATCTTGTCACCTACGTTTCTGGGCAATACTTAATTCCTGGACATCCCAGTATCCCTGAGGTTGTACTATAATTGTTTTCCAAAAGATTAGATTTTCTTACAAAATATCCCACTTTTCAAGTACATTTAGTTATTGATTCAAAGGGGAATAGTTAACTAGGTCCACTACAATATAAAGAAAGACCTTTCATGTAAATGGAGCTCTGCTGGCTCCTAGCTGCATAGATTGAATTTGTACAATCTAGGTACAAATATTTGTACAGAGGCAGCAATGAGAGAGGAGAGTGGCATCTAAGTTTCCTACCCTTACTCTCTTGTAATTTATCAAACATTTGATTGATACTCAAGCTGAATTAGATTAATACAATTAATCTAACTAGAACAATTAATCATTGGAACAACCTGCCTCCAGAAGTTGTGAACGCTCCAACGCTGGAAGTTTTTAAGAAGAGACTGGATAGCCATTTGTCTGAAATGGTATAGGTTCTCCTGCTTGAGCAGGGGGTTGGACTAGAAGACCTCCAAGGTCCCTTCCAGCTCTATTCTATTCTAATGCATTGAAAGTGTCTGGACTGACTGCAAAATATATGTGTGTGATATTTCACCTGATATTCCCTTTTATTGGTCTGTTACGTCCCTTTCATTTCTGGCCACAACTGAAAATCAATTCTATGTGGTTTCACAGAGCACCTTTTCCAGGGGTGCCAAACTTGAAACGTCACGTGACGTGTCGTGACTTTTTTTGCCATTGCCAGCAATGGGATGGGCACAGTTTTGCTATGATGCATCTGGCCCGCGGGCCGGCAATTTGACATCCCTGACTTATTCCATTGTAGGTGTATCACCTGTTCACATTGCAGGGGTATCATGAGGTTATTATAATTCTCCATTTTACAGATTCAGCAGTAAAAGACTAATTATAAATCCTGATTGGGATCAGTCAGTGGTAATTTCCCCCCAGGTCTTAGAAAGATATAGAGTTCACTACTGAGAGAAGATGGTAGTAAATCTGCCAGGATCATGTTTGTCAAGTAAAGAGGCAAGTGTTTGGCATCCTAGCACTTCCTTCTCATCGGCAAAACCTGTAGGGACTTAAGCTGGAAGGACTAGTGGAGCACTGCTTGTGGCAATTATTTTCCCTTCTACTGGACTAGCTGGTTCATCATCTGGGTTAACTGGTCCGACTTGCAACTTGCTCTGATATCTCAGCAAGACGCTAGCAACCTGTTTCAGGGTCATTGGAGTTACCAGACAACTGCTGCCCTTGTTTAATCTCAGCTTTCCTCCTTTAGAATTAGGAGTATGAGATGGGAAATTTTCTGCCAAAGCTTTCTGCCAACAATTAAACCACTTACATTACAAAGACTATTAAACAGTGTGTGGGTGTAAGATATGTAATGTAAACTACTTACATTACAAAGACTATTAAACAGTGTGTGGGTGTAAGATATATCTTAAATGAGATATTAAAATTATTATAACCCCGCCATATACAGAATGAAATATTTGGAGCCTTTAGCTCTATATTTCCAAATTTAAATCCTGTACGCAGAATAAATGCCCTGATTAAAAAGCAATTCATACTGTATTTTGTAGAATTAATAGATATTTATAGAACAAACTTGTTCAGATTTTACTCTGTCTAAATATTTTCCCCCAAATCTTGTAATTTTCTTTTTTTCATAAAAATTACTTAAAAGATTATAATTCTTTCTCATCACCTTCTTTAGATTTCCCATTCTGTTTGATATTAAGTAGTTAATTATTCTCAATTAATATGATAATTCCAATTTATCATGCAAGGAGTTTGTTATTTGTAAATACTGAAACCAGATAGAGTTTCTTTCACCTGTCTAGCCACCAATTTTAACCCTAGTCAGTAATGACTCATTTAATATCATACCTACTATAGATTCATATTTTTATTTCTCGGTTTAGAAAAGCACGTTTGCATTTGTTGATACTGAGCTCCTTATATATTACTATAGATGCTAGCAGATTAGTTTGAGCTTAGAAATTGTCTTCTTTTATACCAGATTTTGAAATTGTTTTGGGATTAATTCATGTTCAACCAAATTCTCCTTTACTTCAAAAGGAGAGCCAGTTTATATAATCTATCCATCCAAACTGAAATAGATGAAAATGATTAAATTAACTGCACAGTTCCATGATATACCTCAGCAAATTAGAATGAGACAATTCTATTTTAACAATTCTATTTCAAAGCTGTATTGCAACGGACTAGTGCATTTTTCACTAAAAATCTTAGTCTGCTTTCCTCTATCTGGCTTTTAAGATTTCATGTCACTAGTTACTGCCCAAACTTTTTAATCCTAGATACATGCAGTCTAGAATAGTCAAATACTTACAAATTTAAGAAAAAGATGTAATTCTTTATGATCCAAGGGGTTGATGGTTGCTTCAAACAGAGGTAAGAATATGTTTTCCAGCATTTTCCCAAAGTTAGGCAAAATATTTTTTGCCCTAAATATATCACTGGAAAAATAAAACAAAATACTTAAATATTTTTATTGTGCTTACTTGGGATATGGTCTACTTTAGGAATAAGTATTCTTGTCCAAAAAGTCCCCAAGATCACATAGTTGAATTTTGGCTGCAAAAAAACCTCCTAAGCAACTATAGTTCAATTTCTTTAATGTACATAATAAAAAAAATATTCGAATTATGTAATTATGTATGAAAATGCTCTGACTATTGCCTTTCAAATGACATTATTTAATAACATATAATACTATTATGTTACTGCTACCCATCTGTAATCTTTGATCTAAAACAATGGGAAAAATCAATAAAAGGTTACTTCTCATATCAATCCCATCCCTATGCAAATAGAGCCCTTCAACAAAGTCTTGGGGTCATTTCTGCAAGACGCTACAATGGCTATTTATTTGCCATATTTATTAGATCAATTTATATCAAAGTACAGCTCAGAGTATCATACAAATTAAAAACATCAAATAGTAATAAAAACGTTGAATAAAACATATCGTGCCAGAGAGAGTTTCAAAACAACCAAAAACAAGAAACGACCAATGAAGCAATCAAGATAGGCACAAAACCTCCTATCCCTGGGCCTGGATGGAAAAGCCATTCTTCAGAGTCTTCTGAACGGTACGCAGGGTGTGGCCATCTAAATCTCAGGGGGAAAGGTTTTCATAGGGGATATGTGGCAACAGAGAAAGCACATTTCTTGGGTTCCTCAAGGTGACACTGCTTAAGTGATAGGACTTGGAGCACGCCCAACCTGAGAGATGTATCAAGATACATAGACGTCATCAGAGATAGGGGGCCTCATATATAACCAATTCCTGTGCAATGAGGGGATTTGTATGCAATAGCTAAAACCTTGGATTGCACCCTAAAGCCTGCTGGCAACCAGTGCAATTCGTGAAACAGTGATATTGCATGGGAAAACCCAAATACTCTTATAACTATCCATATTACAGTACTGCATTCTGGACCAGCTAAAGCTTCTGAGTGGTCTTCAAGGACAGGCCCATATGGGGTGCACGGCAGTAATCCAAACAATAGGTCATCAAGGGCTTGAATGACCCTGAGTAGGGCAGTAAAGGACTATGGGCAGGGCAGTAGGGCTGCGCAAGGTAGATTTGTGCAAAAAACCACTTGAGCCACTGCTGCCACTTGTCCTTTGAGCATCATATTGGCAACCCCAAATTGCATCAATCTGCTTGTTCTCCAAACCTCCCACGTGTCATTTTTGCAATATTTGCGGAAGCAATTGAATAACAAGGGCAACTTAAATATAAGAAGAGATCTTTGCTTCCCGTGTACAAACTTGAACAATTATAAATTTAAAGTAAAATGGCACTGGATTGCATTTACACATTTATTATAACATTACGTGATAAGCCAATTTTTAGTGGAAAATGGCAGGATGGAGCTGCCCGTGGCTCTCAAGTCTCTCTTTTATGTTCATTAGAAATCAGCTCATCAAATTATGGAAGCAACCTGCACAGATGCTGCTAGTTTTGTGCTAATCTCCTAGTTTTAACATACCAGAAAGGAAGGGAAGGAGGAAGGAAGCCATACCAACTCTTCTAAAATACAAACTTCCTGGTACCACCCTATTTAGCAATGCCATGTCACTGCCTAGATTTCTTTAGTCTTTTTACCTCCCAAATCATTGTGGTTTCCAAAGTATTGTCCTCAACAGCTTTTTAAAGCAACATGTTTGGTTCTTACAGGCAAATTAACTGAAGCTGTCAAATTGTCCAGATGGCCTCACATAGTATAGTTTGGTAACGGTCATGGTGCAAGGTTATTTTCTTAACCACAATTGTGGGAGGAAAATAATTTCCTCGTTGCTGTAAGGGAACTTCTTACTTCTCACACTTAACCGTATTTTAAACCTCATTCTCTGTTAAAGAACTGGAAAAAAGAGAAATGAAACTGTTTCCAATAATGCATTACTGATTCTTTTACTTACTAGATTCTTGGGATCTGAATAATCCAGCGCATATGAGGTGAATAAATTTTGTGCCTTATGAACCACTTAGCCAAATTCTGCCACTCATCTGCAGAACGCCCATAAATAGACAGCCGAGGTTCTGTGTACTGGTATTTACTTTCTTCTAGTTCACGGGCAACTTCCTATTCAAAATAAGCCATTATTACTTTTCTGTTTAGAGCAAACACATTTCATCAAAAAGTCTTACATGCAGAGCCTAACATAGAAATACACCTACTGACTATTAATCACAGTGTATTTTATATTCCACATCTCAAATTCCCCAAGGGTTTACAGACCTAATGATGTCACTTAGGATTGTTTTTAATTCTGCAAGTTATAGAACTTCCTGCCACATAATATTTACCACCGTGTTTGAAACTCTATACACTTCAGATTTGGGAGGGGGGGGAGAAGAGGAACATAAATCATATTATTAGCTACAGATTTTGTATCCTGCTTATTAACATTCACCCGAATCATGAATGTCTGAATGAAGAATTATTACATCTGTACTACTAGATGACCACTAGATGGTGACAAGGAGATCCAGAAACTGCTCTGTATTGTTCTATACGTCTACATAATGAACTAAATTAACAGTTGATTCCATCTGTAAGTGTGAAACCAGACTGAGCTGTTTGAGACTTGCAAAATTCAGTGATCAATGTAAACAATAAAATTAAGCACCAGTGCACGAAACTATACTGAGTAGTTTCCATTACATCATCCAGGATCTGTTTGTTGTTTGGATACCTTTTAAAAAAAATCAAATTATGTACATCATGATCTAGTCCAATACGATATATCCTTTGGTTTTAAACAAGATGGCATAATTCAAAAATCCTTATCAACAAAAGCACTTAAGTATAGGAAGATGCTATCAAGTCCACACACGCACATACATACCCCAGTGTAGGAGTCCCATTTAAAGCATTTTGTACCAGGGGCATCCACAAAACCCAGTGTTTTCATCAAAATGACCAAAGCAGACTTGCACCATTGTAACACAACTCCATCCCTTTCACAGGTGACTGTAATATCATGATATTTGTATTAAAAGGGCAGAATTGTGTTGGGATGGCATGATACTACTTTCATCATTTGCTGTCACTTGACTGTCCTTGCAGATGCATCTCTCCCAAAATAATGGCTATCCAACTTTCCCTTGAATACATCCAGTGAAGAGCAGTGGCTCATTAGGTTAGGGCACTGAGCTGATGATCAGCAGGCTGACGTTCGAGACCCGGTAGCTGCTGCGAGACAGGGTGAGCTCCCATCACAGGCTGCAGCTCCTGCCAACCCAGCAGTTCAAAATCAAGTGACCGTGAGTAAATAAATGGGTATCACTTCAGTGGACAATTTAACAGGAATATGAAAAGAGCCCCCAACTTGGCGTCCTCTGGGCAACAGTGATGTCATTGTTCAATCCTTTCAACCCTGAAGAACTTGACTGCAGCATCAGTATCCAGTGAAGGGGAATCCCCACCACTTTGGGTAATTTGATTAGATCTAATCTTTTTTCCTGCATCAATTTGGACATGACATTCCTATTCTTCAGGCACAGTTGATGTGGTGCCTCCATAACCTGAAGAAATAGATATTGTAGGAAGACACGCCCCCCTCAGCAATGCCTACCAACAATGAGTTATAAAATTCAAAACCCATTATCCACAAACTATATGGATTCTAGTTAAGATAATAAAACACATGAAATCCCATTTTTGTTTTACTCTACACACTCTTCCATTTTTTCATGTCATTCTCATAATTAGCAACATCTCTGTTAATTAACGTTAAACAGATATGCTTCTAATTATGTGAATGAAATAGCATTCATGGAGTTACTATTACATTCAGTCTGGTTTTCCTAATGGAGGCAGGATGTCTAATTTTGTCTTCTAACTGCACTCAAAATGTCCACAAATTTATGCAATTAAGCATTTCGGGAATCCATAATTCACAGAAAAAAGGCACACACATTTTCACTGTTGAAAATGAGATTTAAATGGGCTTAACCTCTAAAGACTAACATCAAAATAATTTTGAAGAACTGAACAGATTAATCAGATATTCCAAATCATTTCTTGTGCTTTTATACCAGAATGTAAAATGGTACAGTATTTAAATTTTATAAACATTTTATGTATGATTCATATATATTGCACATATGTATACATAATTTCTCTTTATTCAAATATTTACAATAGGTCAAGGCTGTCCTTCGATTCCAATCCCGTGCACATTATCCCTAATTTATGCACACAAAAAGTATTTGGAGATTTATAACATAAATATTTTTCATGCAAAATTTATATTAATGCTAAATTGTATTTCTCTTTCAAATCAAAATATTTAAGATTAATAAATCCTCAGAGGTATCTAAGAGATTGATACAATTGGATTAGAATGCTTATTTTCATGATTAAAAACATTTCATTATTATCTACAACAATTGAAAAATACATGAGAAATTCATCAGTCAGAATAGTTCATATTATGATATGATATGCAGATAAATGGTCTATGCAAGACATCAGCCCACAGCATATTTACAAGATTTAACTTTTGGAAAAGAAAACTTCAGAAAAAATAACTTTTAAAAGTGCTAATGAAAGAATTAGATAAGGCTTCAAAGCCTTATAACAATGGAACTGTATCTAGGATGCATTATTATTCTGGTTTATATACTGAGCAGTTAATAACAAATGCATAGCAGAGTAAAAAAAAATGGTTAAAAATGTACAGTAACTGATATGCCACACCTTTGGTGTAGATAGTCCTCATTCATTTGAGCCCAAAGTGTTTCCAACGAGATACACTTTTACAGGTCTTTGAAAATATTATAAGAAAGGAATAGTTTGAATATCCAGTGATAGGCTACTCCAGAGTAGGACAGCCATCACAGAGAAAGTTTAAAAATGTGGTCCCTGCAGTTGATATCCTCTCAGTGGGTAAGATCTTAAGTGAGCCTCCTTTTCCTGGAAAAATTCAACAAATTCAGGGACAATCTCAAGAGATATCCAAAAAACTTTGAACTATGAAAGGTTTTAAGGGTGATAACTGAGACCTTGAATTGCATCCAGAAGCTCACTGGCAACCACAAGAGAGGCAAATCAATTAAATAAGCTGAAAAGTTGGGAAAGAGTGAGGAAGCTTAGTAAGTTAAGAAAATCTAATGAAGGCATTAGATTGAGAAAAAAGGAATACAGGGGTCTTCAGAAAAACAAATATCTACATAGATTGAATTCTTGTTTAGTTTTGTATATCTTTGGTTGTTAGTAACCTATTTAAAATGGCTACATGATGACATGCTCCTACAGAGTTTTCCGTCCGTTATAACTGAATGGCCTAAAAACTTTCAGAGCATGAGTAACTTTTCCTGATTTTATTTGGCATACAAAAGAACTCCCATTCTAACTAGATTTACTTGAGGACTTTGGACCAGAATAAATAAAAAAAATAAATATATAAATATAAATATAAATATAAATATAAATATAAATATAAATATAAATATAAATATAAATATAAATATAAATATAAATATAAATATAAATATTTATTTATTTAATTTAATTTATATGCCGCCCTTCTCCCTGCGGGACTCAGGGCGGCGCACAACATATTTAAAACAAAAGCATATATACAATCCCCCCCTGTAAAACCGAATTAAACCAAATTTTAAAGTTGTGTCTTCCAAATTCCTTAAAATGAACCCAGTATAAAATCCTCCCTAGGTCAGGTCCGCTTGCTGA